AAAAAAAACAAAATTTCCTATTATAAGATCCTAGCTTTCAAAATTCTCTAGCATTTCAAATTTACAATTAACAAACAGTACTACTGCTGCTAACAATTTCATTGCTTCAACTTAATGGACATAACCAAAGATTCAACTTCATCACCGATGCATTGGTCTGGGATATAACGTCACTGGACAGCAAACAATTTCACATTAACCTTTGGTGTGCAAGAACCTTGCTTTCACAAATATCACCATTTATTCACTTGATGAAAGCCCCAGTACATATGGAATCCATATCGATTGTTCTAGTGGGATCAACGTTACTGACTCAAAAATTACTACCAATAATGGTTGTTGATATATTTTTAAAATAAAAAGTTATGTCTTCCTCTATGAAAAGTTATTTTTTGATAAAGTGATTATTTAAAAGACACTTCGATTGAAAAGTTATGCCATATAATATGACTATTGAATTGATGGTGGTTTTTTATATGAAAACTTATATCTCTTGATAAAATAACATTTAAAAAAACACATCTAAATATATAAATTATAAAATAATTGAAAAATACCACTATTCAAAAATTATGATATGAAAAGTTGTTTTTCATATTATGATTCAAAGACTATATCTTATCATATGAAAAGTTATTTTTTTCTTAAAATAACTATTGAAAAGTACATTTATCCAAATGTTATGTTTTATAATATATAAAGATGTGTTTAAGATAAAAAAGTACTTTAATGAAAGCATCTAAAAGAAGGTGAAAAGTATTATGTACTGAATGAAAATTCAAAAAAAAGATCTAAATACTTTGAGTTCCCACAAGTATTCAAATTTTTTATAATTTACTTATTATAAAAATAAATTCTAAAACCAAACAATTTTGCAACCTTCAGATGTGTTTAGTAGTTTAATCTTGTAAGTGTAAGGTGATGTTAAATATTTTTAAAACTATTCATATAATTTTCTTTTTATATATCGAATGATATGGGCGAAGTAAGTGTTAAAGACAATTTTTTTAAGACAATTAATTTTACTGATTGTTTTTGAATTTCAAATAACCATTTACACCAACACTGATTGCATCTCCCTTGGTGGTGGACTGGTGGTGGAAGCCAGCAGATTACTATATGATATAACATGCGGACCCGGTCATGACATCAGTGTTGGAAGTCTTGGAAAGTATAAGGACGAATCAGTTGCTAGAATCATTGCGGCAAACTGCACTCTCATCAATACAATGAATGGAGTGAGGGTCAAAACTTGGCCAAACTTCTTTGGAAGGCATTGTCCCTCATATGCATTTTGAGGACATTATAATGGTTAATTTCAGCGATCCAATTCTTGTAGATAAGGATATTGCCCACACAAGAAGTGCAATGCAAAGGTAAAACATGTCCAGCTCATTAGCACAATAATATTAGTATTATTTGCTTGTATAGTAAATCAAATTAGTATATAGTCACTCACATCACATGTCTATGGTGGTTATTTGTCTCATTCTTCAGGCTCTATCGCGTGTCTAGGCCACAAAATGGTATCCTAAAGTTCAATATGGATGGAGCATCTAAAGGCTATCCTAGTGAATCGAGCATGGGATGTATTTTAAGGAATGAACTAAGAGACACTCTTACCTACTTCTTTAAAGCTATCGGCATTTGTGATTCCAACAGGGCTGAACTAATGGCTGTTAAAGAAACGGTGCTCATTTATGCTGCCTCTAGGTGGAATGAAGTTTTCCCTTTTATCCTTGAGTGTGATAATAGTAATCTTGTTAAATGGATATCTACCCTGAATGAGACCGATGGAGATTGAGACACCTGGTTATCCAAGTCAACAAATTATTTGGCAAGATCAAGGAATGGCAAATTAAGCATGTTTTACGGTTAGCTTATGGAGCTGCTAACACTTTTGTAGAAGAAGGTGTGCAATGTCTCAGTAACGTTCAGTGAGGTTCCTGCTAGTACAGATCATGGTGAGACTTTTGGGGTTGATGACCAACAATGAAGGCTCCCACTCTATTGTTTGTTTCTGAATTATTTGTTTTTTTTCTCCCCTTTGCCTTGTGTTTTACGATCTTCAAGTTTGATTCCTTTTAAGCATTGCCATTGTTGTTTTCTAGCTATTATGTTAGCTTCTCTTTTGTGTTTCATCTGAGTCACAGGAATTTGTTGTCAACTTGAGTGTTGTCATGTGCACTGGTATTTGCTTTCATCTTGTGTTAAAAAAGATATAGAATTAGTTTTGTACGTATAGGTGCATTTTTAATCTTATGGGAATTGGTTGGTGGATTCCTTGCTCCAAGAAACTTATGGCTTCCTTAAGTTTGAAGTCCTTTTCGTATGACTTCAAGCCCTTATACAGAACATCTTTTTATCTTAAAACTTATAAAGTTTCATTTTCTCTTCTTTTATCTTGACACACTCGCTTGTGGCACCTTTACTTAAAAGGAATATCCAAGTTGATTTTGCTCTAAAATAACATAATCCTATGTTCTTATGACATTGGAATTGGATACATAGCTGGTCCTTAGAAAGCGAAAAATCACCGAACTGATAAATAAATACTTGGCAAAATTGAACAATAATAAACAAAATTGAGAGTTATAGAGAGCAAAGAACAACTCTTCTTTCTCGGCTTCCAACTTTCGCTAATAAAGTACATGCAATATGTAGTGTAGTAAGGAAAAAAATATGTTATCCTTGCTTTCCAGTTGTGCTACCAAGGAAAACACAAGTTCTGCGTATTCTATGTTGATTTTGTACCAAGAAAATGGGATCTTATCCTTGATTTGTTAGTGATCAAACAAAGGAAAAGTAGGTTTTTCTCAAATATACTGACAGTGAATTTTAAAAAAAAAATTGAGAAAAAAAGAACTAATAACGTATGATTTATTAACTTGAAATTAGATGTATATATATATATCTCTGAATAAGCAGTAAACATCACAAAGGATAATTCAAATAAAACATCGTTAGTTCTTTTGTGACACGCTAACACAACTAACACAAGATAGAAGGCATACGTCATATCTGTACATGTATAAGTTACATGTTACTGTTTTAAAATAAACACACAAGCAATTAGTCCATAAATGCCATATACAAATATTAAACATTTATATTACATTTTTTTCATATTTTAAAAAATAAAATTTTTTATTTTTATTTTTATAATTAAAAAGGAAAAATCATTTTAAACGAGAAAGATTATTTTTTTTAAAGATAAAGAAATCAATATTTGTGTTGGTTAACTTGGGCTTTGAAAAAGATTAGTTCAATTCTGACCATTTGATCCCGCGGCCTTGAGCTGGAAATCCAAACCAATTCGGAAAGGCCCAGACCCTTCTCGAATTCGGAAAGCGAAAACCAAACCGTCCTGCCCTATCCTGAAACCTTGACCAACACGGCGTCGAAGTCTGTCTGCAACACCTTTGTTAAACATCACAAATTTTAATTTCAAACAATCTTTAAAAAGAAGAAACAACAGACCAAAGCCGTCTCAATTCTCAAAATTTTCGATCCAACGTTGAAGAAGCAAAAGGAATTTATTTATTTTTTAGTTATGGATTTTGAGCTAAGGAGAGCGAGAGAGAAGCTTGAAAAAGAACAGAGGGAGAGGAAGGAAAAGGCCAAGTTGAAATTGGAGAAAGAGAGGAAAGCCAAAGAAGAGGCTAAGAAGCAGCGAGATGCCATCGAAGCTGCTCAGAGATCTAGAAGGCTTGATGCCATTGAAGCTCAGCTTAAGGTACTATTGTCTACCGATCTCAGCTATTCTGTTCTCAAATCATTTATTGATGTTTCAATTTGATTCATAAGTGTTTCTATTTAGTTTGTAATTATGATAATAATCCATCAAATTTTTAGGTGGAAACTCTTTTCTTGGGGAATGAATTAATTAATTCAATGTGTAGCTTTATTGAGATTATATTACTACACCCCTTTGCATCAAATTTTTTATATGGGAAGCGATGCTTTACTTGAAATACGTAAAAACATGGGTGTAACAAGAAGATCGTTGAGGAAATTTTGGTATGTAAAATATGATGTAATTGAATATGTTTTCCTTTTTAATAATTTGAAAGTCCATTAGTCTTCGGCTACACGTAAGAATTAGTCTTCTTCCCTTCAATAAAACCCAACCTCCCTTTTCCCAAGATTCTAACCTGAGACCCCAGATTTGAAAGTTTTAAGTTCTAATCATTAGACATACCCTTAGTTAACTTTTCTGTTTGGATATTGTAATCTACTTGCGTTGGGTATTAGGTCTGCATCTTTTTAACACTTATGTAACAATTACGAAGAGTGGAGTCCAGTATAATGTATGTATAGGGAGGACTAGTGCTTGCATAGAAGTTTTACTAATGAGTTGAGTATTTTGTATATTTGGTAACGGGTGTTTCTAATCCTTTTTTTTCCTTTGTCCTGCTCAGGCTGAACAGCAGATGGGAGAAAGTTTACTTGCAGGAAGCGGAATAGTTTTTTATAGAATCTTAGAAGCTGTACCTTTTCAGGGTAGTGGAGATAAGATTAAGTTGCCACCATCCTGTTTCGCAGAATTGTCTGATCAAGGTGCATTTGACAAGGGACCCATGTACTTTAAATTGTCAGTGGTTCATCAAGAGGGACCTTCGGAGATTGATGGTAGTGAAAAGGAAAATAATAGGACCACTCACTCAGGTGTTTTGGAATTCACTGCAGATGAGAATTCCATTGGCCTTCCTCCCCATGTATGGAGTAATTTGTTCCCTGTGGACACTCCAAAGGCTCCATTGGTTGAGGTTCGATATGTTCGACTTCCAAAAGGAACATATGCTAAACTTCAACCGGATGGAATTGGCTTTTCTGACTTACCCAATCACAAAGCTATTCTTGAAACAAGCCTTCGTCAGCATGCTACTCTTTCTCAAGATGATATTCTCACAGTTAAATATGGGGAGTTGACATATAGGTTACACGTTCTTGAGCTAAAACCCTCTTCAAGCATATCTGTCTTGGAAACAGATATCGAGGTGGATATAGTCAACCCAGGTGTTGATTCAGAGAGGACAAATCAGTATGTCCTGAAACCACTTGTGTTTGGTACATCAGACTCTGGATTGGTTGAGGAAGGAAATTACATGTATTATAAGTTCTCAATTGACGATAACATGTGGGAAAAAATTGTTTCCAGTGATGTCAAAATAGAGGTAAAGATCGACGCAGACATGAATGGTGGAGATACTGATCTTTATGTTTCTAAGCATCCTCTTATATTCCCAAATCGGCACCAACATGAATGGTCTTCTCATTATATTGGTTCGAAGACCTTGATCCTTAGCTCCAAAGATAGGAACTTCAGTGCTGGTACTTACAGCCTTGCTGTCTATGGTTTCAAGGGAACACCAAGTACCAGGTATCAGTGCATGTTCAAGAGAACAGCAAGCAGAGGGTGGGTAAACAGTTGTGTCCTCATCTTCAATGGAGGTGGATACTGTGGAGTGTCAGAATTGCAAGCATTTTATTCCCAGTAGGAGTATTGCCCTGCATGAGGCCTACTGTAGTAGGCACAATGTTGTTTGTCCACATGTTGGTTGTGGAATTGTTCTTAGGATTGAGGAGGCCAAAACCATGTGCATTGCAACAAATGTGGGCAAGCTTTTCAACTGGGAGAGATGGAGAAGCACGTGAAAGTGTTCCATGAACCACTTAGCTGTCCTTGTGGACTAGTCTTTGAGAAGGAAGACATGGTAGGCCATACTTCTCCTTTCTACAGACAATCTATTTCAATTTACATTATTTGAATTAACTTAGGGCATTATTACTGCCAATTTTCGATGATTTATTTCAGAAGTGGAGCATAAACTAATTTGCAAAACTGAAAACTATTGTTCTGGTTTATGAGAATGTTGCATAATGCATAACTTATATACTTGTGTGTCATTATGTGCCAATTCCAGTAAAACGGATGGTATATCCACTGGGCCCCTTCTAAGCTGGCAGATGATGATAGGACTGAGATAAATGGTTATTGTAATTACAGTTTTAGAATTTCTATTAGGTTGTAAATATGTTATTTAGACATTTACATCTCTGACCACTGCTGTCAACATGTTGTAGATATGGTCTAGCAAAATGAAAGGTTTGATATAGTTGGAAGTGTTTATAGAAGACAACCACATGGCACCCCATTGTGGCATGTCTAAACTTATTTTGGTTTATTTTTTCAAAGCATGAGGTTCGGATATCATATGTTTGATGGGATCCATCACCTAAGCTAGTTAAAGGAACATGATTTTTAATGATCTTTTCGCTTAGCTTCTGGAGTGAACCAAATGATTGGAGTCTCACATTCATTTCCTTGAGTATATTTTTGTAAATCTGATATTAAGATGAGAAAATTGAGAACTGGCTGATTGGAAAGTGGAAACCTTGAGTGCATCTTTCTTTACTTGTTGATCTGGATATTCTTACAAACTTTCACATATGTGGACAGGTGCGACACCAATCCTCAGATTGCCCCCTGCGCTTAATTACATGTCAGTTTTGTGGTGATATGGTTCAAGCTGGAAGCTCTGCCATGGATGTTCGTGACAGATTAAGAGGACTCTCTGAGCATGAGAGCGTTTGTGGCTCAAGGACTGCTCCATGTGATTCTTGTGGACGATCTGTTATGTTGAAAGACATGGACATCCACCAGATAGCCGTTCACCAAAGGAACTAATGCCAGCGCAACTTCTCAATTCCAGTACAGTCGAAAGTCAGCACTATTTTGCATGACTTATATTATTGAAGATCCAAAGAGAAAATCAACACTGCAGCTGTTGGCATATGTGCATTGAACCGAACAAACAGATGTGATTATTTGTATTTATTTTAAGATTTGTGGGGCATTATTGTTTGTACTTGCAGAAAAGGCAGTATCTTATATAAGATAATAATGATGTGAATGTTTTTCTTTAGATGACTAGGAGAGGGGATTAGTTCAAACAAAAGAAAATGCGCTTAAACATATAATCAAAAAGATTATTTTTTTCATGTTGTGCACGATTTCGTCTAAAGGGATATAACTCTCCATGATCTAAACTCTTAAAGAAGAATTGCTCAAACTCGACGGCAAGTTGGCAACTGGCGAGGACAGCCTATCCGATATGGTGGCCCTGTCAAAAGCAGATTTGTAGCATAGTTGCTTTCATTTGGCGGTGAAACCCTCCAAGCTTTGGTCGGGTTGAATGGCGGTGGCGGGTCGTTGAAACGTTTTTTTCACTGTCATTTCATTTTGTTATGTCCTTTGATGTTTCTCTTCAGTTAACAAGTGGGGATAATGGATTTGGAAGATGTTTTTAAAAATAACTTTTAAAGGTATTTTAAAAAATAAATTTTTTATAATTTTAATTATTTTTAATTAAATTAAATAAATTATTGTTAATGAAATTACATATCATATATCATGATGTTATACATTATGTAAAAAATTATGTTACATGTCATGGTTAGATTGTTACATGTTATATACAAAAACATGTGACATGCCATAGTTAGGTTGTTGCATACCATATTGAAAAAAAAAATACTATTATTACATGTTATGTACAAAAACATGTTATATGTCATGGTTAGGTTATTGTTAATTTGTTACACGTCATGTTAAAAAAAATATTGTTATTACATACTATATACAAAAACATGTTACACGTCATGTTAAAAAAAATATTATTGTTATACTTATTGAAAAAATATTATTGTTATACACCACATTCAAAAACATTTCGCTACACTTTAATATCTAAAATGTTGTTATTACTTACGAGCCAAAATTTTAAATCCTCTCAACTCTTTTCATTTCTTTTTTATTTTTTTTGACAATTTGGCACCGATTAAAGTATTTCTAATGTGTTTTCATAAACCAAATCACAAAATTTCTTAACTAAAACACCTATTTCAACTAAAAATTAAAAAAAAATTTCTTTTTGAAACTTAATTTTATAAATTTTAAAATTTTAAATTTATTGATGTCTAGATCTTAAATTGATCCAATTATAAACTATTTCAAACATTTGTGATTATTTTTACCGTTTTAATTTTATTCAAAATATCGAAAAATAAAAAATTTCAAATAACCACTTACTCAAATACATCAAAATCATCACTTGGTGTTTTGAAAATGTAAGAAAGAGAAATCCGAAAGCATGAGATAGATAAATCAGAAGCACAACAGACTAATACCGAATAGAGAAATTTATAAAATTAGAGAGAGTGGATGGTGAGAGAAAGAAATCGGAAGTATGAATGAAAAGAAATTGTGATGAATGGTTTAATTTATTTAAAATAGTTTTGAAAGTATTTTTATCAAGTTATAATTAAATATAATTAAAAATAATTAAATTTATTTTAATATTTATTTTTAAAATACTCTTATAAAAAAATTATTTTTTATTATTTTCTCGTGGATAGATTTAGTGTTTAAATTTCGATGAATAAATAAACTTATCATCCATTCCTTTCCTTAAGTCAGCAGGAAAATTGTTACACAGGTCTTTGTCACACAAATTTTAAACATAGCCATTAATATTACTAGTTGAATATTTAGTTTAATGATAAATATAATAATTTTTTTTAAAAAAAACAGATTTAAATTAAAATATGACACATAATTAACAATTACCTTGTTTAACATATTGTTACTTTTGTTAAGTCGGTATAAGAATAATTGCTAAGATATGTACCCATAAATGTTTTACGTTACAAATTTTAATAACTTATATCATATTTTGATTCTTAAAATTGATTGTTGACGTCATAAAAAGAGTCTATATAACAATATCTTTAAACTACATTCATTAATTATTAATTGTACATTTTTTTTTGGCTTGAATCATAATATGAACTGAAACCCTGTATCTAGGTTCCAATATGTTCGTCTTCGAAAGTAAGAATCCCACATAAAGTTCTTCGGAGCTAATCCGTTTTCCAATTATAAAATTCAATGGGACAAAAAAGAAATATGGTTTTCTAACTGCTATTGCATCCCATGCTATGGTAAGTATTGCCAGCACATAAAGTTGCACACGTCTAATCAAATTGTCCATAAGAATAATTAACCAAACCCATAACTCATTGCTTCATAAATTATGTACTAATATTATATTACTTGAAAATTATTTGTACGTGAGACACGTATTTTTATGAATTATTTGGTTTTTTTCATAAAATTATCGTCATACTATAAAAATAGTCAATAATATAGCGTCATTAATCATGACGACGTAGACTTTTGGGCAGTTGTATCGCACTTTTTGATAATAATAGTAGCCGTTAGAGATGAATTCTGTTCACTTTGTCCCACGTGCCACCGAACCACGCAGACAAACCCTTTATTGTCACTTTTTATTACAATCTTAATGTAATAACAGTAATTTTTTATTTAAAAAGAAAAGGGGAGAAGACAAAAATACGAAAACTACTCCACGGGCTGCCTCTGTTCAAAGAACATAATAAATTTTTTGCCACCTCAGTTTCCTTCTACGTTTTGCACTTTTTTCCTGTCCTTCTGTCTTTCCTTTGAGAGCACAGACAAAGAAGGAATGTGCGATCCCGTCAATAAATCTTACTTCTTCACTTGATTTGGTTTTGACAGAGAGTAGAAGAACTCCAGATTTTCTCTCCTGTCTTATTTCCCTTCTGCGGCTTGCTTCACCCTAAAAAGAAAAAACTGAAAAAGAAGCGTTCTTAGCTTACGTTTAGGGTGTAAGTTTTTCTCATCTGTTACGGCTGCTTCTGACGAGTGAGTTGAACTGCATTGGACTTCAAACGCTGCGTTTTCGGGTTTGATAGGTACCAACGTGGATCATTTAGTGTTTTCTTCGTTGTTATGAAGTTGGGAGGCGAAAGATAGTAACTGAATTGGAAAAAGTGTTTGTTCGCTTGTCTAGAAAATCTGAGCACAAAGAGCAGTTCACATTGAGAGTTTGTTTCATCAAATAATTGTTTTAAAAAATTTAAAAAAAGGGTGAATTTAGCTTTTTTAAAATCTTACTCTGTTAAATTGGTTTTCCTTTCCTTTTCCTGCTCTTTTTTTTTTTATAATTTTTATATTGGATGTTTCTATGTTCATTGTCTAGAAAAAGTTCTTGAATTTTGGATTTGATGGTGGGGGATGTTGCTTTACATGAGTTTCAAAGTAAAGAAAATAAAAAATAAAAGACAATTGGCATTAGCTTCTGATTTCAACATTTGCTGTTTTTGGTACGGGGCGATAGCTCTTTCAAATTAAGCACAAAAGTCAAAAGTAGCTTACTTTTGCTTTCACTTTGTTACCAAAGTTTTGACCTTTTTCCTTTAATCTAATTTTTGCTATTAATGGACAAGGGTGGTCCTTCCTGTAACTAAAAAGTAATAAAACTTGGCCCAAAATTAATTTTTTGCTGTTTGTTTGCTCATTGCACAGGTCAAAGCTTTAACCCTTTATTTTTTTAAAAAATTTTCCTTGCTATATTCAGGAAAGTAGTAATTTTTCGTTGTTGAAGCAAATACATGGCCACTCTAAATGATATTGGAGTTGCAGCAGCTATCAATATTCTCAGTGCATTTGCTTTCTTTTTGGCATTTGCAATTCTTCGGATTCAACCTGTGAATGACAGAGTCTACTTCCCAAAATGGTATCTGAAGGGCTTAAGGAGCAGTCCTTTAGCAAATGGTGCATTTGTAAGCAAGTTCGTGAATTTGGACTTCAGGTCATATGTGAGGTTTCTGAACTGGATGCCTGCCGCACTCCAAATGCCGGAGCCTGAGCTGATTGACCATGCTGGATTGGATTCTGCTGTTTACTTGAGGATTTACATGTTGGGGTGTGTATGCTCTGGTTGTTCGATTTCTTTCTAGCTCTATAGTTGGTACCGTAGTGAATACATAAGTACAAGATTCTATTGGTTGGCAATTTTCAAATTTTAGTATGTTTCAATTTGAAAAACTGGGTTGATGGTACATTTGTTATCACATCAATTAAACGTGAAATGATATTCCACATGTCTAAATGACCTTGTTGGGCTGAATTATTTGTGCTGTCATACAAGCTGCAGTAATATCTAGGCTACTTGGTGCTTTAACTGGCACAGAGACAAGTGAGAATTATTAAGTTGAACTTTAGGCACACAAAGCATGAATCTGGGGAATATACGAGCTTGTTCTTGTTTTAGCTGAACTGAGATACAGTAATAATAATTAAGGATTAAAAGAGTATGTTGGAGAACTGGCAATGTGGTAAGAGGGTTTGTCTATCAGTTGCATTTCTGGTTTACTGGGAAGCTTTTGGTGTTCAGTTGGGGAATTTTTTAATCAGAATTCTATCTAATTTGATTTGGCTCTTGGTATATATTTACATGATAACGTGAAGTTAGTCATCTTTTGTTGCGTATATGTGGGTGTGGATCACGTGTTCGTGTTATGTCAAAGTTGAAGTCATATTAGCAAAAAGGTAAATCCACAAACAATGGAAAAACATCTTGCAGTTTATAAATTCGAGAATGAACCTTACATTTTTTACTATGTAAACGAAATGGTCTAAACTCTTATTAAACTCATAATGAGCAAACTTAGAGTAGGGTAATACTTTAGGAATTTTGTGTACTTTTTTCTGGTTTCATGTTGTTTGAGGGGCTTAGTTTACTCCTGGCATGAGATGTTTATGCTGCAGAGCATATATACACACACACACACACACACTTGCATACATACATACATACATACATACATATATGCATACATGGGTTCGTATCAACTGCTAGTTCTTTTTTACCTCTTTTCCCTAGAGAATTATACAAACTTGAATATCAACCATCTGCAACACACAGGAATCCTACTGTGCGGTCATGAATGGTCGAGATTCTTAATCTGTAATTTGTAGGTGATAATAATCACTTTTACATTGCAAAGACAAATTTATTACTTTTATCATCTTGCACTAATGCCATCTTTTTTGCCTTTCCTTTTCTTTTTCACCCCCATTCAAGTGCAGGCTTAAAATTTTTGTTCCTATTGCATTCTTAGCATTTACGATCATGGTCCCAGTTAATTGGACCAATAATACCCTGGAGCGTTCGAGTTTAACATACAGCGATATAGATAAGCTCTCTATATCAAATATTCCAACTGGATCACGTAGGTATGCAGAACTTTCTATTTTCAAGCTTTATCTTTATCTTTTGTCCTTTTGCTTTTGAAAGAACTCTTTGACTTAGTTTACAATTTCTACAAATACCTGACATAGTTGAGAGTTAGGAAAATTTTGTAACTTAAAGTTATATGTATTACGGCCTACGTCTTTTCCTTTATGATTTCAAATTGGTGTTTCCAACGTACAATAATTAGCACTAATTTTTTTTCACCATTTGAAAGTTGCAAGAAGGCACATGGGCTTAGTCCATATCTTGTATTGTTTCTAATTAATGGTCTCGAATAGAGCTTTTGTAGTCTTTATCACTTTTGAAAGGGCATTACATGTGATGCATTATCAGTTTGGGATCTTGGGGATCAACACTTTGATGGTAAAACTTTTATCCCATGTAAGATATCTGTGGAGCAATATTTCACCGGACGGATGTTTAAACCTCTTTTGCCAAATAGGTGATTTGAATGGTTTGGAGTGTAGATGTCCTGAATGATGAACTTGAATTTCTATTTTCTTCCCTTTTGGCTGTATTCTGGGACGTTATTGCTCCCTCATTTCTGAAAAACCCAAATCCATAATGGTGAATTGGGTTCTTTTCCAACTCCTCAGTGGAACTGAAATTGCTGGACTGGTTTGCTTTTTCTAGTATTGCTTCAATAATATTAACGATAAATTAGAATATTTATAATACTTTTTTTCCAGATTTTGGACGCATTTGGTAATGGCTTATGTATTTACGTTTTGGACATGCTACGTGTTGAAACGAGAGTATGAGATAGTGGCAGCAATGAGATTACATTTTCTAGCATCAGAGCAACGGCGCCCAGACCAGTTCACAGTAAGCACAATTATACTATTTTATCGATCCTAAAGTGATACTGAAGCTACATGTCCTCTATTCAAATTCTACGTTCTCTGAGCAATTATTGAGATTTATTATTGATTTCATTTTCCCCCTTGGCTTCTGAAGTTCTAAAGAAAAAGCCAGTCAGATAGTATTATAGTTTTGGTCTTTTTTGTTTCTGACTCATGAAGATTTAAATTCTGTTTCAAAATCTTAATCTTTTTCTTTTAATGGTTCAATTCTTGTTTCTGACATTGTTTTTCTTGGTGAAGGTACTGGTTAGAAATGTCCCACCTGATCCTGATGAATCAGTTAGTGAGCTTGTCGAACATTTTTTTCTTGTCAATCATCCAGATCACTATCTCAGTCATCAGGTTTGATATTATACATCAATGTACAAATTATATGATCCTACATAGCTTTTCAATCATCAGACATGTTTAGCTTAGCTTAACTCTTTTGACTGCTGAAAGTACATCATATTGTTAAATTTGAATTTGTTAGCTTAATTTTAACTCTTTGAATGCTGAAAATACATTTTTCTATGGTGTTTTCTCTTAATTATTTGTTTGCAGGTTGTTTATAATGCTAACAACTTTTCCAAATTGGTCGATGAGAAGAAGCAAATTCAGAATTGGCTTGACTTCTATCAAAATAAATATGAAAGGAATCCATCTAGGAGACCTTCACTGAAGGTAATTTTTGCAAAGAATGTGCTTATATTATGTCTAGAAATATGCATTTACCCTATCCTTTTTTCTTTTGGGTGCAATGCCTTCAACAATTAGTTTTATCTTTCAGTATTCAGCTCAAAATAAAGTTGATGAGATCATGCTAGTTTTAATTTTTGATTCCTGACATCTGTTGATGAGTTTCTTTTTCTATCAAGCAGACTGGTTTCCTTGGCCTTTGGGGTAACAGCGTGGATGCAATTGACTTTTATACATCCAAAATTGAGAGATTATCTAGAGATGTAAGTAGTATTTCTTATTGCTTCCTGTATTTTGTTATTTACTTCTGAGTCTCAGTAGATCAACTCTCCTTTCCTTAGAAGTTCCTTGATTTCCTGCTTGTGGGGAGGGGGGGGGGGGGGGGGGGGGTGTTGAAAGGCACCCATGTACTATCTCTATGAGCTGCCCATGTTTTCTTTACAAACATTTTCTTGTTTCCACTTGAGAAACTCTTTCGTGCAAATCAAACCTCAGTTTATTTGAATCTGGCCTATGTATTCATCACACTTCAATGATTATTTTCTGTTTTCCTTCTCCGTTGATTGGCAATTTGTTCATAACCTTAATACTCATCTAAAACCCCTAACGCTTTGATCAATCCACTACCTAGTCGTACCTGAAGCTTATGACATTTGAATAATAAGCGTGGTTGCAATTGCGAAAAAAGTGTGTATAGTTTTAAACTGCCTGCATGCATCATAAATGTCCAATCATTTGGTTTCAGTTTCTAAATCCAACTTTATTGCAATTGAATTACCATCTCTGTGGGATATTTTGGTTTTTCCTTTCTTAATCTTCTAACTGATAAGCAATTTGTTTGTATCCAAGAGTGTAAACTGGAACTATGTGCTTAATTATCTGTTCCCTCCATGACTGTCAGATATCTGCCGAGAGAGAGAAGGTTACTAACAACCCTAAATCAATCATGCCAGCAGCATTTGTTTCCTTTAAAACTCGATGGGGAGCTGCTGTTTGTGCACAAACTCAACAATCTAGGAACCCAACAATATGGTTGACTGAGTGGGCTCCAGAGCCACGAGATGTGTACTGGGAAAACCTGGCAATTCCATTTGTTTTTCTCACAATTCGGAGGCTCATTGTTGCTGTTGCATTTTTCTTCCTTACATTCTTTTTCATGATTCCTATAGCATTTGTACAATCCCTTGCTAACATAGAAGGCATTGAGAAAGCACTTCCCTTCCTGAAACCTATAATTGAAATGTGAGTTTCTTTTTCTTCATCCTCTCCTTTCTCCAGATAGTAATATTCTTTATAATATTTTTGGCCTTGCACTGAAGAAAAAGGAAATTTTTATCATCTTCTATTAATCTCCTTATTAACGATCTCAGTAAAGATTTCTTTTTTTCTTTTTGGATAAAATTGAAGAATTTTGGGGGGAGAGATAAAAACTGTAATTAGTGGACAAGTACCTAGGACACGCCCATAGGAGGGTAACAACTGTTAGCTGTTAGGAAAAGCTTTTGGGTTATTAGTGTAAAATTATTTTAGCTACAAAAATTTTCTTTCCCTTGAAAGATTATTCTCCATTTTGTTCCCAGCATTAACTAACCTCATCTGTATTTCCTGCAGGAAAGGCATAAAGTCATTCATTCAAGGTTTCCTTCCTGGGATTGCTCTGAAGATATTTCTTTTATTTCTGCCTACTATATTGATGATAATGTCAAAGTTCGAAGGTTATATTAGCCTATCGGCTTTGGAAAGGAGATCTGCGAGTAGATATTATTTCTTCCAATTTATTAATGTTTTTCTTGGGAGCATAATTGCCGGAACTGCGTTTCAGCAACTAAATAATTTTATCCACCAGTCTACTAATCAGTACGTTCTTGTGCCTTCTTCTGTATTTTTTTGCTTACTGGACAAGCTTATGTGTGTGCATGCCATTCATTCATAGTTTCTATCATCATTTTCTTATCTTGTCTATTTTGTCCATAGCGGCTTTAAGAATTAGGATCTAATTTAGGAGTGAAAACGTTGCTAATGCAGCCTGATTTGCTCTAGTTAAGTATTGCTCTTTACCACCATTCATCTCATCTACTGGCTTCTAGTTTTGAATGTATATCACTCAATATGGATTTTGCATAACACTAAATGATGGAACTGAAGTTAAACAATGTCCAGAAATTGTTGTCTGTTTTTATGGAGAAGGAAAACCAAAATGTAGTGAAACCCAAAAATCGGTTCAAGGAGAATTCATCATCATGATCTTTCTGCATTTTATTATTACCTTCATCTTTGTGCAGTATATTTCTCTCCTAATGATGACATTCATAATACTTTCTCTTTCCTGCTGTGCACCTCAAAATTTTAACCATAATATGTTCATGTTTCCATTTTGCAGAAAATAGATGAGCTCTTTCTCAGTTTCTGTTTCTTTTATTTCTTGTTTGTTTCACATAGACTTGGTGGGTATCAACTTTAATTTGATGCTCATGCTTGAACCTTGAATATAGCATAATAGACTGTTTATCAAGAATATTTGATATGTCCAATAGCTTAATTCATCATGCAGTTTCTTTGCTCTGTCATTGCCTCATTACTCTCACTAGTTTTTATACCATATAATCCAAAAACTTCTATATTGCCTGTGTGACCAATCCTCTGCTCAACTTTTATGTTTTATTACTGATATTAAGTTCGTATTCAAGTGTTTCTCTAATGTGACCTCATATGGTATTTTGTAGGATACCAAAGACAATTGGTGTCTCAATTCCAATGAAGGCAACATTCTTCATTACCTATATAATGGTTGATGGTTGGGCTGGAGTTGCTGGGGAGATACTGAGATTGAAACCCTTAATAATCTATCACTTAAAGAATTTCTTCTTGGTTAAGACTGAAAAGGATAGGGAAGAGGCAATGGATCCCGGAACCATTGGTTTCAATACAGGCGAACCTCAAATACAACTTTACTTCTTACTAGGTCTTGTTTATGCTGTGGTGACTCCTATCCTGCTTCCTTTCATAATAGTATTCTTTGGCTTGGCTTATGTCATATATCGTCATCAGGTAAGAACTGATATCTTCCAAAAGTAGGTTTATTACCTTTTGGAACTGTAGTGCAAAGGCAGTGAGACTATATGCTTGGTCTAGTCATCAGGAACTTGTTCTGTATACTTGGCTTAAAATCTACCAGTTATCAATTGTAAGATGCAGAGCCTCAGTTAACATCAAGACATAGAAATACTGAGATTGGGCGGATAGAATTAAAGTTCATTGGTTGTCGTATCAGGTTGTTGAAGAGGGGAAAGGGGTTGGGGAAGGAGGGAGATGAGCTGTGCTTGTTTAGTCATACAGATTGAAGTAATTTGACTCTCTTAAAAGATTAGGAGGGGGAAACAACTCATCATATTTAGGCCATGTTTGCTGCGCCGGTGACTATAGCCTGATGTTGTAACTACAATAATAACAAATAGTTTCAGACAGCATTGTAAAAATAATCCAGGTCTTTGTGAATTTAGGCTTTTCAATGATAGTTCCACCTGATCAATGTGCTTATTCCACAATATTTCCATTTTTCATTTTCTTGGAAATCCTTGCTCTAATACATACTTAAATGAACTTGTAGATCATAAATGTCTACAATCAGGAATATGAAAGTGGAGCAGCATTCTGGCCTGATGTTCATGCACGTATCATTGTTGCATTAATAGTCTCACAGCTGCTACTGATGGGATTATTGAGCACAAAAGAAGCTGCTCAGTCAACTCCATTGCTTATCACACTTCCTGTATTGACCATATGGTTCCACAGATTCTGCAAGGGGCGTTATGAACCAGCTTTTGTCAGATATCCATTACAGGTTGGTTGTATGTTACACACATCTTATTTGATTTGAAGTAACTCAACAAAAGAAACCACAGTTGGAACTTTTGGCTTGCATCTGTATTACTGTCCTTGTGTATGTTATCTCCTCTTGCAGCTTAAAATAATTTTTAATATCTAGATTTTTTCCAATGCCCTATGTTATGACAAGTTTCTATGCATCCTTGGTGTTGCCTTGCTTAAGTATTTCTTCTGCTTCGGCCTAGTTTTACCTAGGAACTAAAAATGTAAAATTCTTATTTTTAACTCCTTTTTGTGTGTTTTCAGGAAGCAATGATGAAGGATACATTGGAGCGTGCAAGGGAACCAAACCTGAACTTGAAAGGATTCCTTCAGAGTGCGTATACCCACCCGGTTTTCAAAAGCGCAGATGATAGTGAAAGTGATATAACAATGGAAGAGTGGGAACAGGAACCTGCCCTCATCCCAACAAAGCGCACGTCTAGAAGGTGTACTCCGTTGCCTAGTAAACATAGTGGATCCTGAAGTTAAAGATGAATGTTCAAAACCTTAGAAAGAGCATTATGGTTAGATGAGTGGTTGGATTCCCTTCACCCCCGGCCCCTAATGGAAAAATCTGTGAAAATTCTGATACATTGTAAATGAGTAGAGCAAAGTAGAAACGCTTTGTTACGTAGAGAAGAACAAAGTGAAGGAAACAAGAATTAACGAAAGCAATGAATAGTGACTTCATAAGTTTGGACAGCTTGGTGTTTTGATTTCAGGGTCGCATTATCTTTAATTCTATTATTCAATTCAATGCTAATACTTCACACTTCAATGCGCGTCATTTAAATCACGATAACTTCAAACTTGATGAGCCTTGTTTTAATGTAAGCCGGGTGATTGATGCCAAAATTTGGCTCTAGGATCAACATTGTTGGCCCACTTCGTTCCTGCGAGATGCAGGCCTGAAAGAAGTTTGGAGCTATGTTCCCACGATTAAGTTAGTAGTCAGTGATGGATAAAAAATATATATTTAAGTGGAGAAATAATTATAATGAAATCACATAATATTTAAAATAATTTTTAAATTATTTATAAAAATTTAAATATTTTTTATTATATTCACATGATTCTTTGTTAACACCGTAACATCTTTCTCCACCTCAGCAGAGGCTCCCTATTATGATTATAATGAAATTATATAACATTTAAAATAATTTTTAAATTATTTATAAAAATTTAAATATTTTTTAGTACATTTACATGATTCCACATTAAGGCCGTAACATATTCCTGGCTTACTATCCTTTATTTGCGTGGTATTGTCTGTTTTAACCTATTGGCTTTACAGTTTTGTGCTATAAAAGGCACTTTATAGATTAAAAGTGGTGTGAATCTTTAAACACTCAGTATCACTCTAGTACACAAACGATGTAAGATTCATGACTCTCTTTGAAGAGTTTCTCTTCAATATGGGATTTATAGCTCCACCCACTAGGTGCATATCCCTTTTATGTGGGATTCACATAGTTTTATGATGGGACTGTGATATCAAAAAATGTTATGAATCCAACATTAGTAAAAGATAAGGTGGATCTTAAGTATATAAATATATTCCTTTAATTATCTATCAAGCATGCCTTTTGAGATGGAAACGTGGGCTCGTGACAAGTGATATCAGAGTAGATCTATATCTTCATTGATGTATATCCTTATAAGAGATACAAGAGTCGAAATAGACCCGGATTAGTGTAAGAGTCCTTCTTCTCTATGGGTAAAATCGAACTAATGTAAGTGTCCATCTTCTTTATGAGTAAAAAGCAAGTGTAGGTAAATCGAACTAGTGTAAGAGTCTCTATTCTCTATGAGTAAAGAGTCAGTACATTGAGATAGCCAGTGTAGGTAAATCAAACTAGTGTAAAAGTCCCTCTTCTCCATGGGTAAAATCGAACTAATATAAGTGTCCATCTTCTTTATGAGTAAAAAACAAGTGTAGGTAAATCGAACTAGTATAAGAGTCTCTGTTCTCTATGAGTAAAGAGTCAGTACATCGAGATAGCCAGTGTAGGTAAATCAAACTAGTGTAAGAGTCCCTTTTCTCCATGAGTAAAGAACTAGTACATCGAGATGCACAATTAGATGGATAAAAGCATTAGTAAGAGATGGGTAAAATTAGGCTGGTGTAAGAGATGGGTAAAATCGAGATAGTGTAAAAGTCCTTCTCTATGAGTAAAAAGCCATTGAGATGTACAATTGGATAAATAAAAATATTAGTAAGAGATAAGTAAGATTGGACTAATGTGAGAGATGGGTAAAATTGGACTAATGTAAAAGTCTTTCTTCTCTATGGGTAAAGAACCATCAAGATGCACAAAGTCTTTTTTCTTTATAAATAAAGAGCCATCACGATGCATAATTAGATGGGTAAAACCATTAGTAAGAGATGGGTAAAATTGAACTAGTGTAAATGATGGGTAAAATCGAACTAATATAAAAGTCTTTCTTCTTTATAAGTAAAGAATCATCAAGATGTACAATTGGATGGGTAAAAACATTGGTAAGAGATGTGTAAAATCGAACTAGTGTAAGAGTCTCTATTTTCTATGAGAAAAGAGCCAGTGATGCACAATTGGATGGGTAAAATGGGTAAAGAGCTAGTGTATCAAGATACACAATTAGATAAGATAAAATGTTACAAATTTAAAACACTAGTGCATCACGATGCATAATTGAGTGAGATAGAATATTACAAATTAAAATAGCTAATGCATCGAGATGCACTATTAAGTGAAGTAAAATGTTACAAATTCCACATTAAAAACATTAGTAAGAAATGGGTAAAATGGGTAAAGAGTTAGTACATCAAGATACACAATTAGATAAGGAGGAATGTTATAGATTTCATATTAGTAAAAAATGAGTAAAAATAGCAATATGTACAATTAGGTGAGGCAAAATGTCATAGATTCTACATTAATAAAAAACGAGTGATACAAGGATCGAAATTGACTCGGGTAAGTCCCATGAGAGACACAAGAGTCAACATAAACTCAGATTAAGATAGAATATCACATATTTCACATTGGTAAGAAATAAGTAAAATGTAAGTGTATGAAACAGATTGCACATGAGTAAAAGATTAATGAGTATTGGATATATAAATATGAATTTTTAGGATAAAATATATAATTTAAAATAAAAATATATAAAAATAATTTTTTTTGAATTTTTTTAATAATTTAAAAACTTTTTAAAGTATTATGCATAATTAATATAATGTATATTCAATAGAAGAAATAAATAAACAAGTGAAAAAATTAATTAAAAATTCAATACAAAATTGGAAGAAATTTTTTTTAATAAGAAAAGCAATTTACCGAAAGATCGGTCATTTGTGCATTTTTCATTTTAAAATTTCTTGCCGAATAATTATTATTTGCACTTGCACGCACTAGAATCAACAAAATTCCAGATTCTTTATTTCTTTCGTTCTCAACTAATCCACCTCCCCCAATAATAATATAAACAATTCACTAAGCGCCAAAATTTACCAGTCCACTAGTGGGCCCATTCTCGTTGGCGGACCCAGTGACTGCCTTCCGTGGCCCCTTCCATTTTTCGTTTTTCCTCATTTTGTTATTTCGCTGAAGCGTGGTCGCCCGAGGCAGCTGGAGGGAGGCTTTGACGAATCGAGATCAAGCTCCTCATAGATCCAAAGCTGTTTTTAAGGCACAAACAAGAAAGAAAAGGACATGGACGAGGTGATGACGGCAGCTGATGCGACCTCATCCAGAGGCAGCGAATCGACGTCGTTTGCGTTGTCTCCGTCGTCGAATCTGCTTCCGAACAACCTCCCTCTTATCACGGCCTTCCTCGCCTTCGCTCTTGCTCAGTTCCTCAAACTCTTCACCAATTGGTCCGTCCTTTCTTAATCGCAGTTTCATTTTCTTTGCTCATTTGCATGATTGCTTGCGCATTTGTTTACACTTATTATCATATTCGAATTTCAGTTGCAATTTCTCGAATTTCGTTATTTTGTTGTTGTTTGATGAAATTGTTATAAACTCAGAAACTTGGAATATTTTGGAATTTGGTTTAGTCCTCAAAAAAGATGCTTTGACTGTCAACTGCTCATAAAATACTTAACTGTTTGCCAATAAATAGAAATGTTGGCATATTTGTTAATTTAATGAAAACCCTGATTACTAAAGGCTTGTTTGCTTTAGCCTTGTCGGGGAAACCTGTGTTTGAGCTTTCGTGCGATTTGTTCAATTTAATGACTAGTAGAGGCAATTTCAATGAGTGATCACTAAGTTTTGACCTGCATCAATATGGTAATCTAATAAGGACATTGGAATTTGAATAAGAGAAGTTATATTTTAGGTATGGAATTAGTTAGTTGAATGTATGAGTTCCTCATAAGAAAGGAAAATGCGGAATTAACTGAAAATGGAATGTCATTTTGGAAGTTTTTATGGGAGATTCCTTTAGGGAATTTTGTCTTTTGTTAATGGTCTTGCAAAAGCTAGAGGGAAGACTGGTTATCATATGCTTGTCTGGTTGCCTTGTGTAAAAAGGATTGCATATATCTCATTCTTATGGGATTTCTTTTAGTGCCCTGGATCTAGTACTGTATTTCTAGGTGTTTAAGAGGCATATTGGTTTTCTTTCTTTCTTTTTATTTTTTTATTTTTTTAAGAAAAAGTAAAAGTAGATTTGATAGAAATAGCCAAGAGTGAAATGCCTCCATTTTTCTTCAGATATTGTGAGGAACCAGAAAGAAAATGCTTATCGATGTTAAGGAAGCCTTAAAAACATTTGACATTTTCCTTTCAATTACCCTCATTCTTAAAATTTGTTGAATGTAAGATTCTAGATTCTAGAAGGGCGATGGACTATTGAAAGCATATGCTAATGATTGCTTTGGGTCCTGTTTTCAGAGTCAAAACCACTTACGGTTTGAATTGAATTTTTGAGGCAGTTGATGTTTTATCTTTATATCCGGTATGATAAGCTCATCGTATACCCTGGTCTTGATAGACTAGGCTTAGATCTTTTCTTTTCTTTACCTCTCCATTTTAGGGCGTATCTTTTCATTTTGTAAAGGCATTTTAGGAGAGTTTCATTTAGATGAATATCATGGGCTCTCGACATTTAAAGAAAAAGAAAAGAAACTTTATTCACTAAGCTCTAAAGAATTGTTTGTGCAAAACTTGTTCAATGCAGATGTTGTCTTACAATTCCACCATAAGGAAGACAATAATGACCTTACAACTTTATATGAGAAAGACTTCCTAATAGTTTAAAGCAGTTACCAATCAAATAAGATCCAGGACTGCACTCAAACTGAGACACCTGAGAGGATTGAAATATGGGAAATGACTTTCCTGTCTTTGGAAGTAAAAGTAGCAAATACATCCCTGGTTGTGGAAATTAAAAGTTTGTTCTTTGTAACCGTTTAACTCTAAGGTTTTGCTGTAAATTTGTTGTGTATCCATGGTTTTTCTTTGGGTTAAATTTTTGTCACTTGTATAGGTAGTTTATTTATTTACTTTTAGACCAAGCGTATGTAGTTAAATTACGTCTTCAAGTTTCAGTTGATTATAATCACAGGCCCAATTCTTTGAGAATAGTAGCTCAAATATTTGAACTTGTTTCTCCTAGATACTCAGGTTTAAAGAAAGGCGATGGGATTCTAAGAGAATGCTTGATTCAGGTGGTATGCCATCATCTCATTCTGCAACTGTGACAGCTCTAGCAGTTGCTATAGGTCTACAGGATGGGACAGGAGGACCAGCTTTTGCAATTGCAGTGGTCTTGGCATGTGTTGTAAGTGCTTCCTAACTTTTCATTTCTTGTGGTGAAATTCTCACATATGACCTATCTTTTCATTTCCTGGCCTCTTTTTTTTTTTTTTTTTCTTAAATCTAATTTTAGAATCTATATCAAATTTGCATATCTCTGATTTTTTCATCTTCCAAATTTGCCCTCAACTTGATGACTTTTAATTTTTTTATATTTATTTTCTATTCTGTTGCAAATTTTTAGTTGGAAATTGTTCGGGATGATGACCAATTTTGCAACTAAACTTATACCCAATATTTCAATTGGCCACGCTTAATTCTTTTCAATTAGCCTGCTGAATTTAAATTTTTGTGCAATTCTGCTTAAAAATTAATGAAAGCAGTCACATGCAAACATGTAGCTCTTATATCTTTTAAGTTGGTGAGTCAGCAGTAATGTCGATTAAGGAAAACAAGTGGCTTATAGGTTATGATGATAAAATTGATAAATAACTTAATCAGAATAAAGCCTTATTTAATCTAATTAAGAAAAATAATTTATGAAGGGAGACAGAGACAGACCTCTCTTTCTCTGGACCCTTCTTGCTCCTGCTGGCTTGGGAATGCTGCAGGCAAGCAGCCACCTGCTGCCTCGTGGCAAGCTCTCCTTTCCCTTTTCTTTTCTTTAGCATTCCTTTTCTCTCCTATCTCCATCCCATAGACCTGAACTACCTGTTCAGATAGTGGCCAACATGTTCTTCCACAATGTTGGTCTCTATGGTTTTTTACTAAATCTTCCACAGAATCTTCACTAAGCTTCTCTCTCCTTCGCATAATCAACAGTCTCCTGGAAATTTTGCAGCAATTCTGTGTTACAATGTATATAATCTTGACACGATCTAAAGGAATTGCATTGATGCACTTGGCATGGTATGTGTTTCTTTTGTAACAATTTGTTATTATGTTGTTTCCAAAAGAGTTTAAGTTTGGTTTGCTCCCAATTGTTTTGAGTGATACTGATGTGAAGAGATTTGGTTTTTATTGTCCAGATCAAGTTGAACCTGATTGGTGACTTGATCTAGATAACAAATATTTGACAGAATGTTGTTCCCTGGTGAATTTTTGAATGAAACTGGATAAAGCTAAAGTTCAGTTGGTAACTGAATGATGTTGGAGTTTCAAAATTAAATGTTAGTTACATAAGTTCACTGGTGAAGCCTTCATACCAATTTCCTATGGTTTTCTTGTTGCTTCTTATATAACACTTGGAATTCTTTTAGCTGCCAAGAGAACATACTTTGTAAAAATTTGCTTAAGCTTTATCTAGGAGGACATGTTTAGAGAAGTTTCTACATGTGGTATAATTACACGATAGTTCTGTGAGATCAAGTTATTGTTGCTACTTTAGACTTTTGCTTCTCTCGTAGTTGACTCTACATTCTATACCAGAAAGCCAGATCGGCCAATTCTTATTTTCAAGTTGGAGACGCACTTGCTTAACAACAGAGAATAGAAGGCATGAGGACGAAAACCTGAGAATTAGCTTTATGCATAGTGTTAGTTATAAGTACTTCAACTTTCATCCATGTTTGTAAGACAAAAGTGGTGGCCATAGTTCATGCTCTCCTGAATATGGATGGACCTAATCATGATTGTTACCAAAATCATTGCACTGTGTTGACATTGATGCTCTTGCTATTTTTTTTATTTTTTATTTTAGCTTGAAAGTAGTTTTTAATGAGAACGAATTCCACATGCTTATTTTAGAGTGGCGAGTATGGTTGATGATTTTTGATATATGCAGGTGATGTATGATGCCTCAGGTGTCCGACTTCATGCTGGCCGTCAAGCTGAAGTAAGTCCTATTTCGCATGAAATGTAGATACAAAGTTTATTTTTCTTTGACACACCTATATTGTGATGTCCTGATGCACTCTTTTCATATTTTTTTTCTATATTGGCAGCTGCTGAATCAAATTGTGTGTGAGTTTCCCCCTGAACACCCATTATCTAGTGTGAGGCCTCTGCGTGAATTACTTGGGCATACACCACTCCAGGTCTGCTTCTCTCTACACTGTACAAATAGCTAAAATAACTACTGTCTATTACTTAATTAGTTCTTCCAAAAGGATTTGTTTCTCTGTATATCACTGTAGTTCGGTATTATTATAAAAATTTT